ATGTCGTTGTCCGGGCCTATGCCTACTTTCAACACCTTCGCAGGGTCGCGAGGGTCGACTGGGAAGCTTTCTAGTTCCTCAACCGGAGTTGTTTGGGGTTCATGTTGAGTTACACAGGGATCGATCATGGAGAGTTCTTCCTGCTCGAGAGATGCGTCGATCATGTCAACATCTTCTCGTTCAGGAGGGGCCTTGCTTGGCACGTCTGCTATATCTACATCAGTCAGGATGGTATGTACATCCCAGGGTTCAACCTTTCTAATAGAGCTCAGGTAGCATTCTCTGGAACCTCTTTGGTCACCTCTCACTGTTATCACCCCGTTTTCGGTTGGAAACTTCATGCATAAGTGGTGGATGGAAGTGACGGCCCCTAACTCCTTTAGGGCTGGTCTATCTAAGACTCCGTGGTAAGCTAACCGACTGTCTACAATAAGGAATTTCATAAAGTTCATAGTAGTTTGGGGAGACTCTCCCATCTCTATCGTCAACGTTATTTTTTCTCTCGGAGTGATACTATCTCCGGTAAATCCGTATAAAGGAGTGGTGGTGGGCGTCAGCTCGTGGTCTTGGATTATCTTATCAAAGGTGGGCCAGAATTGGATGTTAACGGAGCTGCCATTGTCTACTAGCATTCGCTTGAGTCCATTTCGGGCCACAATGGCCCTTACCACAAGTGCATCACAATGGGGGTAGTGAACCCCTTTAGAGTCCTTTTGGGTGAAGACGATGGACGGTACTTGGTTCTTTCAAGAGCTGCTGTCCATGATATAACTAGTTAGCGGGAGGCGTTTAGCCTCTCGAGCGTAGTTTCGTTTTGCGTTTCGGGTCTCACCTCCCACGCAGTGGCCTCCAAATATGGTATCTATCTCGTGAATAGGGGCCTCTTCTTGTGTGTGGTGATTTTTCCGATGCCTATGTCCTTCCCTGGGTCTTCCCGCATCACGTTCCCTTCGACAGGGGATACCTCTCGCTGGCGAGGCGTCGCCTTCTCACGCTTAGGTCGCCGGTTGTTCATAGGCCGGGACCTGTTTGCTTTTAGTGACTCGTTCCTCCTGTCTTAAGGGTGTTCCCGTCAGTTGCGGTATGCATACTCCCGACACTCTGATGTGTCATGACTATAAGAACGGTGGTATGTACAATAGTTAAGGGGTTCTGGTTAGGCCTATTCCTAGGCCCCAAACTGCGCCCCTGGCCTCCTCCTTTTCGGGGGGCCTGTTGTGTTCCTACTTGTGGGTAGGTGGTGGTTGGGTTGACATCTTCATATGCCAAAATTAGGATTGCGTTCAAAGTGGTTGTGGCAAGTGCTTGCCCTGAATTTTCATTACCCAGCAGGTTCATCTGGTAGTCCATCAAGTGGGAGGTCGGTCCTCTGGCTCACTGTCTCTATTGAGGTGGGAGGTTCCTGCTGGCCCAATTCCTGTGTTCAATTAGCTCCTCATTGATAATCTCTCACCTCTTCATTTTCAATAGGGCGTCATAGGTGGCGGGATCTTGGTTTTGCACGTCCTTCCAAAACAAGGTGTTCATATTCAAACCTCTCCTTAAGGTTGATAAAGCCTCACGATTGGTGACTTGCACGCAGTACATCATTTCGTTAGTAAAGTGTGATAAAAAGCTTTTTAAGGATTCCCTATGCGCTTGCCTCATGTCTTGAAGGAGCTGGATAGGGACTTCTCCCTCTTTGCTCATCGCAAACCTTTTTAGAAAGGTGTTCTTGAATTCTAGCCAACTCCTTATGCTCTCAGGTGACAGTCCACTATACCAAATTTCAGCCGCTCTGCTAAATGTCAAATGAAAAGCCTTGCACTTTATAGTTGGGGTGGCACTTCTAAGGCTCATATGAGTTTTGTAAGCGCTTAGGTGTTTCTCCGAGTCGCTTCTCCCGTCATACTTTGGTATTTTGGATATCACATAATGGCCCGGAACTTGGGCATTCCTTATTTCCCTTGAAAATGGGAGATTTTCATCGTTGTTGTCCAAGTCACAGGACCTTTACTATTCATCTGATTCATTGTTCTCTTCGGCTTCATACCTGGGTGGCTGATGAGAGGGTTCAGCTTGGGTCCTGACCTCCTCTTCCCTCTTTTGATGCCTATTTCTAGGCGGAGCAACACAGAGAACATTTTCTTGCCTTTTCTCCGATTGACGAGTCATTAGAGGTGGGCACTGTGGTCTATTCCAAGGCTCGCGTTGATGTTCCTGTTGCCTGTGCCTCGGCTCCGTAGGGCTAATTCTGTCAAAGACGCTGTTAGACCTCATAGGTCTTTATTTTGGCTTATATGCTGGTGGAAAGTTGTCCTGGTTATACCGGGCCTCGATGGGTCAGCTAGCAGCATAATTGGAGGAAACATCAACTTCTACTTTCCTCTCCATGTGGCTCCTGCCTCGGCTGTATTCTGGCGGTATAGCCCTTTGGCTTTGAACTTTCTCATCTTGGTCGTAATGTTCTTGGGGTGCATAGGAAGGAATAGGGAAGCCTACTTGGCTCTGCATTTGGGCCTGAGTTCTCTAATGGCCATGTTTTGGCTAGCAACGTCCCTCATGTTTATAGCCATGGTGGCCATCTCTCTTGATAGCTGAGCGGTCATCTGCATGCCACCTCTTTTGTGGTGGTGGTGAGGTCGATGCCGAGCTGCAGGGATAGCTGCTGGTGGGGACATCCCTGCATTTTCTCTTACCCTCCTAGGGGGTACATCCTCGTCTGAACTCATTCACCTGTTCCAACTTCAAATTATTGCTAAGTTATGGGGCTTCCACTTGTTTTTTTCCAAGAACAAATTATTTTTCAAAGGGGATGCTCAAATATTCTTTTCGATAAACTTTCTCCACATGGTTGCTCGTGGTTATAGTATGATTTCTCACAGACGGCGTCAATCTGTTGACCCCAGAATATGTTGCCAACAAATATACCGGACCCACCCTCGCGCACATAAGCTTGGTCCAACACGCTATGGCACATGGATGGTCTAGAAATAATAGCAAAAAGGGGGCATGGGAGCGACTCAAAGGTGCGGGACGAGAACGTTCGAAATCTGACGAGATATTTGCATAATGATTGTACAATAATTACCAATCGATGTTTGTAGAATGCGAGTATGAATTCATGTATGTTGCAAGAAAGTAAAATATAGAGAATGTTGTATTTGTTCTTGTGATGAATCTTGCATTACCCTTGTGAGAGATATATGGGGGAGTATTTATAGTATTACAACTTAGATCGTGACCCTTGGTTGGGAGTACACGTGGTCTTATCACGTAAGTTTACATGTCAAATTATAGGCATCACATTTGACTTCCTAACTTGCTACACATTTATTAATTGACGGCTTTGCCACTACATTGACAATACAAGACATTTACACTCTATGATGGGTGTCCCATCAATCAATCAGGAAGTATCATTGTGTAAGATCGGATCTCTGGGAAGGAGCGTTGCTTAGAGCCTCAGGACCTCGGAGAAGATTAGGACTCAGAGGAAGGGCCTCGGCTCCAAGATCAGCTTCGGCGTCGGCACTTGGGCCACGTCTGGCCTGGGGCCTCGGATAAAATGCCACGTAGTTCGGAAAAGGTTGGCCATGGGCCCAGTGGGTCGGCCAAGTGTCAACACATAACAGTTCCCATCACGAACTAAATTGGAAATTTGTTTTTTGTATTGAGGCATATATGAATTTTTCTGAATTACTTTGTGATTGAACTTCGGGTCCATGCTACATGAAAATGAATTTGGGCCAAATTTTTTGAAAAACAAGAGGCTAAAAAAAAGGCCCAATTCATAAACCTATGTTATCTTTCGAGTTTCATTTCTGCCTTTGTAATTCAAGTTTCCTCCTTCGGCTGGCGGGATCTCAACGGCAACTGTAAATTTCGACCACTCGTACCGGCTCCGCCACTGCTGTTATGCAATTCAATTAACTAAAAATTCAACAACTAAACGATAAAAAAAATGTAATACTTAAAATATTTATATGACAATCAATTAATAAGATTGAAAAATGTTCTACACGATCATTCAAGAAATTTTAAGCCCTTGATTTGAGTTCCATTCTTTTGGAAAAAATATTTTTCAACAGTGTTTTGACATCATTTCAACCACACATTCTTCAATGAATATTACACGCAAATCCAAAATTTTTAACCCCACATTTCCCCCTTTTTTTAACTACACATTTTCCATCAATACACTGTACAAAAATTTATTCTTCAAAAAAAAAATGGGGGTCAAACAAGAGCTAAAAAATGTGTCGCTAGGACGCAAATATTTACACGTTTAGAGTGTTATTTGGATATGTTCTAAGTACTTGTAAGTTGTGAATCATATGAAATATATTGAGTGAATATTAATATTAAGTTGCACATTATACAAAATCTTTGAATAAAAGTATGTTTGACGAATTTAACTTAAGCGCTTGTTTGAAATTGCTTAAGAAGCTACTATAAAGTTGAGGAGTTGAGGTCAAAGTTAAAAAATTAATTTTCATGACATAATTTATGAAATTCACAAATTTTTAATCACACATTCATCATATTTTATCAAAGTCTCGACAATCCTTAAATTTTAAAATTTGGATAAAACTTTTGTGCAGTGGGACCAGTGGCGAATCCAGGATTCAAGTTCAACTAGGGTGGTTTGACCGTTGACCGATGATCGTTGACTGTCGAGGATCGTAATTGTCCGATCGTTTATTAAAATTTGGTTACATAATATTAGAAGTTATTCAAAATATATGTAAATGAACTAAAACGTCAAAATCGTATACATATGAAAATATACTTCGATACAACCCAAAATAGTAAAAAAAAAATATACGATACAACCTTACTCAGTTACTCTGTAACTGTAAACTTAGACAACTGTATTCTACGGGGTCTCATAATTTGAAAGCGTTGCAATATTGCTTCATTCTCAAGCTGTTTAAAAATAGCTTTCTCCACGTAAATCACCAAATTGTCATTTAACCAGATATCACCCATTTTGTTACGCAAATCACTCTTGATTAGATTCATAGCAGAAAATACCTTTCAACACTTGCAGTTGCCACAGGTAATATCAAAGCCAAGGTGAGCAGCCTATAAACCAATGGAAAATAATAGGAACTTCTAGTTTCAATCAACTTCTGAGCTACACAGGATATACTATTGAGATTAAAGAAAGCTTTTTCCATTCTCACAAGCAAAAGAAACTTATCAAGTTGAGGTCTAAATAGTAAAAGTTCTTCACTATTGAAGTCCAAAGGACAGAACTGAGCAAGACGTAGCAATTTATCCAAATCTTTTGGACTTAAACATGAAATGCAAGTAAAGAGCTCAGTAGTTGTTTCTGAAAATCGATCATTCAACTCTTGCAAGATTGAGTCTATCACATGACAATACAAATCAACATAAAAGCGATGAAAATAAGTCACCTGCTAAGCTACACGCCTAGGTCGACCTTTCACCACTACAATATCCTCCATATTAGGCACTAAAATATGTCTATCAACACAAAACTCAATCACCCTACTGAGCAAAGTATCCCAACCATTCTCTCTCAAGTTCTGCAATGCACACTTACACAAATTCAATAACCTCATAGCATTCTAAATATCCTAATCCTTTTTCTGTAAGGCTTGTGAAAGGTCGTCTGTAATTGCAAGAATTTCAAACATAAAGTGAAGACTGAACACAAACTCAAAATCTTGCATATTGTTCGTCTGTCTTAAGGCCGAAGATTTTTGATCTGAATGTACGCCATCTTCTGATATATTCTCAAGAACATCTATAATAGCATTAAACATATTAATGAAATGAGTAACTGTCAATAAATGTGAGCCCCATCTAGTATCACCTGGGCGTGCCAAACTCATTTCTTGAAATTGACCACTTCCACCAGTAAGTTCCCCAGTATTAAGTTTCTCCACAATATTAGCTTATTAACTTGTTTGAAGAGCATCTACACGCTTACATGATGCACTAACCAAATTCACAATAATAGCAAGTACGTCCAAAAAATCACCAACCATACAATTCCTACGTGCCACATATACAATTGCCAACTGAAGCTGGTGAGCGAAGCAATGAACATACATAGCATGTAGGTTCTCTCTAAGAATTAAAGCTTTCAACCCATTGAACTCACTTGACATATTACTTGCTCCATCGTAGCCTTGACCTCTTAGACTAGATATACTCATCCCATGTGTAGAAAATATTACATCAATGGCATCCTTCAGTGATTGGGCACAAGTATCAGTGACATGGGATATACCCAAAAAATGCTCCTTCACTCGCCCACTTTTATCAACAAACCTTAAAACAACTGCCATATGTTCTTTCATAGATTTATCACGAGCCTCATCAACTAAAATTGAACACAAAGAATCACCAATCTCATTGATAATAGCCCTTGTCGTCTCTACAGCACAACAATTAATCAAATCCTTTTGGATGGTTGGTGAAGTCATTTGGTAATTTTCATGAGCATTACTAAATAATAGTTCTTTAATTTCTCACAACGAGCTGCATACCAGTTCAATACCTCAATTAGATTTCCTCTATTAAGAGACTCTTTCGATTCATCATGACCACGAAATGACAATCCTTGCATCAAGAGGAGTCTAGTACAATCTAGCACCGCAGTCAACCTGGTCCTATAACTTTGTTGTTGACTACTACTTTAGCTAGAAATAACGTAAGAAATACTTTGCTTTTGATTCATCAAGTTGGTACACTTTTCAAAAGCTTGATTATGAGAGCTATCAAAGAGACCGACATGATCTTTCAATGTCTCTTTGTGCTTTCAATCCCTAAAGCCGGTCTTAGTAAATATATGTCCATCCCCTTGACCCCCTTTATCAGGTTTGAACAGGTAGCAATGCAAACAATACGCCGCATCCTTTTCTATATTGTATTCCAACTAATGAAATTCGGAAAATCATTCTTTCCGAAAACATCTACTATCATTCCCCATCGGTCTTCTTGGAAAATTATGTTCATATGGTAGACAAGGACCCTTCTCCAAGTATGCCATCCTAACAATATCTCTAATATTAGGATCATATGATTCGATAGGGGGGCGTATCCCTGGATCAGATACAAGACCATCCACATTAAATTGAGTCCGAGACTTCTTTGTGTTATTCAATAATTCTTATGCTCAACTAGAATCAGTTTCGGGACTAGACCCACAACTAGAAGTAGAAGAATTGGGTATGGACTTTCATTTTGGTTGAAAAAATCGTTCCATAATCTGCAAAATGTCATCCTAAATGTAAATTCCCAAATCAATAATCATTCCTAATATCATATTCCCTCATCAAATCATAAATTACTCATCATAAATCACAATTCGCAAATACAATTTCGTAAACATAAATTCACATAAATTACTCATCATCAAACACGGGGATTGAAACCTAATGTCAACAAGTTTCTTACTGGAACCAGACTGTACATTTAATTTCATGTTTTTTGTTCCATTTATAGCATTCTGGAGATATTCTTTATGTTTCACTAATACATTATCGCAAAGATCCAATTCCATTAAATTGATGTCAAATTCTTTATGAGAAGGTAATTCTAATTCTGAGTGTCATTTTTGTTTTCAACTTTTGTCCCCTTCATTTTTGCTTAGTTCAGTGCTCAATAGTCAATACTAGACAGTGAACATACAACTTAAACAGGAAGTTCATGTCTCAATTTCTAAATCTAAATAATCAAAGTGAGCACCACTTCTGGTGTTTGTTCAGCAACTACCATGAAAGCTAAGCCCAGAACTTTAGATTGTGAGAATTCTAGTGATTTATCTTAACGCAATTCTAGTGATTTATCTTAACGCAAGAGTTCTATCTATTAGTCTTTGCTTGTATTAATTATAAAAATGAGAAGATTTATGTGATGACATGCTTCTTGATCATACTCTTCATTTATAAGATCTTCTACTTCGCCTCTTGCTGCTTGTTTATTTAACAAATTGAAATCCCTAGTAAAATAATTTAACATTTTTCGACAACATATTTTTCTATGTACTTATTGCGTATTGTGTTTGTTTACTAACTTATAGTGACATGACTTCAGTCTTCACGTATACGACTATCGAATTTTTTTTTTAACATATTCAAAAATTACTAAAACGATTTATTAACCTCAATATATTGTATAATTAATTCTACAATGTATGTACCCAAAAAAAAAAAAGAATAATAATAAAATTCTTTATTCCCGTCTTCAAATTCTCACTTTTCCATTTATCACTTCATTGCTTCACAAATCACAGATTCACAAGTCAAGAACATAAAATTCCAACCCCATCGCCATTTGCCTCTCACTGTCTCGCAAACTCAGGAAATTGGTTCACAGGAGCATTACACTTCAAATTCCTATTCTTGAAATTTGTTAGCATTTTTATGCACATCAACACCAAACCCAAAAAAATAATAATAATAATAATAACAAAGAGTGAAAGAAGGAGTCACCACTCACCAGTCCGAAATTCTAATGCCTGAAGTCTGTGGTGTGAATTTGGAGCAAGAAGAAGTGAGATTGAGGAAAAATGTTTGGTAATTTGGGGAAAATTCACAATTCTTGGCGCTGATGCCTGTTGCCTTTCGTCTTTTGCTGGCCTGAGGCTGGGATTGAAAAATGAAAATGTCAAGGGCAAATAAAATGGGTTATGGGTAACACTAACGGGTTGGTTAAATTCATTTGGGTTGGGCTAAATAAATTAAATAACAATAGCCCAAAATTTAATATACTTAAGCCCAAACCCAACCAAAAAAATAAAAACCCGACTGTGCCTTCAGTCTTCGTCTTCCTTCTTCAGTTCTTCTCCAATGGCACAACTGCAGTTTGCAACTCCTTAGTCCTTACTTACTCGGCGACTTTGTAGATTTCGACGGAGCCAGCACGCGCGGCCGCGCCCCTCGTCGAGCGCTGGCTCCACGCCTGAGTGGGACAATATATTAGACTAGAGCTAATGCCTAAGAATTAACCTATTTGGACAGGGTGAATTCTAGGGCCTGGTGCCCCTATTTTTGGCCTTAGAATTCATCCTGGCTGTCCAGAGGATTGAATGCGTAATCGGTATAAACATTCAAATATATATAATTATGAAAACTTAGGACAAATACAATTCTTTTTACCGTACCGTCGATCAGATAGAAGGAAGAAAAGATGGAGTACAAAAATGAAAATTAAAAATTAAAAAATTCCTTGACTTTGTCTTAGTTCTATGTTTTTTCTCTATCATTCTTTTCCAGACCAGCCATACATGTTATAGAGAGATATTCGGGTAGAACGGTCGTATAGTCTATGTGCAACCGTCCAATCCAGGTATTTCTCTCAATATATTGGAAAAGCTTAGCGTCCAATCCGGGTATTTCTCTCAATATATTGGAAAAGCTTAGAAACTTTACTTATTAATTTTCATTTATTAATTTGTGCGTTTTCACTTATAAGTAAAATGAAAAATTCTGTTTTCATGCTTATCCAAACTTGTTTGGAATGATGAAACTCCAATAATGTAATTGTAACTTTTTAGAAACTCTTATTTCCAATCATAGATATGCCCAACTTGTTTTTGGCAGTACTAAAATAAAATGTTACTTATTTCAATTTGTAACTTGTTTAACCAATAACACATTATTTTGACACTGTTTAGATTAAACATACTTATTCACTTATATTAAACTTTTTAAGCTTGGCCCAAACATGGCGTACCTCATTTGGGTACCAAGGAAATGTGTTGCAAAATTCTGCAACCCACAGTGTTTTCATGGCATTTGGCTCTGCCTATGCTCGCCTTCTCTTTGCCGAATATTACTCACTTCTCACTTTATTTAAGCCTTGACAGCCCAACAACAGCTACCACCTGATATCCTACTCAGGCTTGAGTCCGTGTCTTTCTCGGGACATAACTGAACCCGCGCCCTGGTTCTCTGTTTTTCTCAGGTCAAGTTCTAACACTTGTCTATATGTTTAGTTGCCATCTGTCTTTAGGGCTTGTTTCGTTTGTGGTGTCAATACAGCATAAGTTGAGGTTCGTGAGAAGTTTTTCTTTGTGTGATCATTGTTCTTTTCGGGTTGTGAATGCTTGTTGAGCCATTGAATGTGGATGGCTTTCAACTTAGTTAAAGCTTTTTATGTGGGATTCATTTTAGGCTTTGAGTGCCTCGTGTTTCTTGTTTTTCGAATTTGCCTCGTGTTTCTTGGCTTTTTGAATTTTTGGAACGTTCTTTATCTGCGCCGTTGGGTAAAAAACCCCTTTTATGTTTTCTGTTTTTTTTCGTAAATTTAGTTCAGAAATCAATTTTGTTGTTGTCTTTTCTATTTTTAATCTTTTGTTTAGCCTGTCATTGTTCCTTTATTAATTTTTTGTCGATTTTTCCTGAAGCTAGAATCATATCAGAGTGCTGTAGAATTTTGGGGTTCTCCAAATTGGTGTACAAGTTATTTGTATTTGGGGATGATGACATTCATTAAGCAATTTCATGAAGGGGTCATTGTAACATTGCACTTTTGGTTTATGACATATGATCTTTTATTTTTCAGTTTCATCAGGATGTCTGCAAATTATCATGTGTTCGTGGAATGGGAAGAGCGTATTATTTCTAAAGAAAGGGGCAACCGAGTTGTTCATTACTATTTGAATGAGTCCAATGGGAATTCAGTCCTTGCCATTGTGGGGACCGAAAAGAGTTTAAGGCACATGATCTATGTTCTTTCGGAGGACTTTGTAATCAATTATGGGTGTACGACAACAGTCCGTGCTGGCACAAAATGGCGAGCAAGACGAGATGTTGTGGAATGGCTCATGTCAATAGTCTCAAGAGGCCAACCAATCTCGACTACTCCAGGTATGTAGGGTTTTATTCCACAGACTTATTAATCTTTAATGACATATGCATATTGAATTTAAATTCTTTTAGTAAATTCTACTCTCCTTTTTAAGCTCTTGATAAGGAGTTGGTGACATTTTCCGAACCACAATCAGGTACGGGCACTTTGTTACCTTCGGTGATAAAGCTGATTGCATACGAGAAATCTGTTTTTGTTCCGATTAAGCTTATTGCACTTGTTCTACTATTTACATTCTTTGAACAGCTCACGCTCGGCATTTGTTATAAGCCATTAGCTTATAGCAGCCTTTTAAACTAGTGTGATAAATTGATGTCTTTCAAGTAAATGGTGAAGGTCTATCAATCCCTTCCTCTCGAAGTTTCGAAGTGAAGGTTGATTTGTAATTATTGATCTTAAATGAATTTGAGAATAAGAAAAGAAAAGAAAATGGAGCTTTCATTAGAATTACAGTAATGGTTTTATTTTTTATTTTCCATTTGTGTTAGAGTCATAATGTGGTTGTTTGGAAAATTGATAGATGTTATTTTTTAACTCATTTGGTCAGAAAGTAAAGAAAAGATATTTCCACTAGATATAAGTTCTATTTAAGAGCCAACCCTTAAGTTCT